TTTTAATTTTGTACTGACGGCCTGCCATAGTTTTAGCAGCCACTTGTAAGAAAAAAAGAACCACGACGTAAACAGAGAAGACCCTGTAGTGATGAGTATTCACCCCCTTTGGATATCAATGGCGTCATGATGTACTAATTAGCCAGATGAAACTTACTAGCATTCAGGCAGCGCACACAATTACCAGGATGGCACATTTCCTCACAGCGGTGGAGTCCGCAGTTCAGCATGCGACCACAGATCAGATTACAGTGATGCTCCTTAGCCTGAAGGCAAAAAAATATGATCTGGTAATAAAAAAACCCTACTTTCCCCAAAGAAGCTATGTGTGGGTGTAAGCGTCTAGTACAATAAGTCATGAATTTTTAAAGAATTTTGAAAACAGAAAAAAATGAAAAATCACCTGACCCAGCAGAATCAACAACAAATGGCCCGACAGGAAGTGGTTAATTGTTTGAGTTCTGGTTTTTTCTATAACAGAGTTTACGATGAGAGTTCATGGACGTACCACACAGCATTTAGTGTTGCATTTGTGTTTCCCACAGTCCTTCTTCTTGGGACACTTGCGGTCACACAGCATGGAAACCAGGCCCGTGCTGGCGTCGTACGACTGGACGAGGTCCCGGCAGAGAACGTCGATCATGCGATGGCCGCAGCGGCAGCGCACCGTGGAGGTCAGGGGGCAGGCAGGGCAGTCCCCTTCGTGGCACGTCTCCTTACAGGTGTGCACGTCTGTGTGCAGAAGGTATAAGGCAGATTTTGCGCATTCTGAAACTTTTTAATGCCCCCATTTGAGACCTTGTCATTGATTACTTGCTGTACATCAGACCTGGGCCCAATTTCAAAGTGCTGTAAAAACAAAATGATTTTACACTGACAGAGACTCCACATATTTCATGGAGACTGTATGCAGTAAGCACAGCAAGAGGCAGACTAACCTCGGAGGAAAGACTTGCTTAACTTAGCGATATAACAATGGAAATTTCTATGCGTGCGGAACTGTTTGCGCAACCACACCAAGCACTGCCGTGAAATAGTGCTTACGTTTAGCAAAATTTTGTGCCACGGTAAGCACAACTTTTCTGCTAACTGTTAAGCAGAAGCAGGTAGTTGGACCCTGTACCTGCGTGTGCACATCCCCAGTGTGGTCAAGCTCTCTCACAATGCACCAGTCTCAAAGTACTGAACCAATGCAAATACACACCTGTCACATGACTGTTGGTTTGAACTGCTCTGATTGTTCAGCTGTCCTTTGTCATCTCAAAGGTTACTTACTGTCTCCACCACACTTGAGTGGCTTGCCACACGTGTTCTTGCACGTCGGAACTGGGTCGAGGCAAGTCTTGCGGGCGCCGCCGTCGGGCGCGAGCTCCATCAACTTGGTCTGACCGCAGGGACAGTGGGTGACTAGGTCTGGGGTCAGAGGGCAAGGGTCGCAGGGGGCGGGGTGGCAAAGTCGTTTGCAGGTGTGGTTACCACAGGGTAGCATTCTAAGATGCAATGTTCAAGTACATAACATGACATGATTTACTTTTGGTTACGAATTGGTCATGATTTGACACTAAAAGGCATGACCTTGAGCCTTTCTGGTAGGGGGCTTTACAGTGAGTGTCATGTGACTTTCTGCTTCCACAGAATAGGTACAGAATAAACAGTTTCCTAGTTTAGAAAGTAACCCCTTATGTTAATGAAGTCACATATGAACAAAATAATGAGATACAAACTCCGTAAAAGCAAAATCTCAACACAAAGTACAGTTCTGGATGGCTTTGCTTGCCGTCAATGTTAATTCTGTATCAAAACTGCTTTCCAAAAACATATGCTCAACCATTTTGACTTGAAATCCATACAGAACGGAACACCTGATTGTTCTTACAATGACGCTCTCATGGCTAGTACCCACTGAGGATTAAGGGTCGAGTAGAAATTAAGACCTTGTGGAAAACAGCGAACATGTACCTGTCACAGATAGCTTTGCATGGGTACCGAGCACGGCCTTCTTTCAGCAGGTTACCGTCATCATCCAAACTGCACAGCACTACTCTGGAGTCCTTACCACAGTAGCACTCTGTGAAGAAAAAATGGAAAAAAACAATAAAGCTAAGTAGAAAAAGAAACAGTTTCTCGTCTCTGTTTTATTGAACGAGGAAGGCTGCTGTGCTTTCTGATACTTTAGTGCCAAAACTTAAAGGCATTTTACCCCATCTATAGCAGGGTTTAAATTTGCATCTATAGCTACATGTTGTTAGAAAATTGGTGAAAATCAGTTACAATAAACAAATATTAACCTGAAATGAAATCTCTAACCTGAAAAAAAAACTCAGGAAGCAAAACAGGAAGTGGGCAGGCACGAAAACCATTTTTTAAAATTGGCCTTACGAATGTCATGCACGCAAGTACCACCGTCCAATTGGAAAATAGAACATTCATAACTGCAGTGCATCGCATTATGGTCTTTCCAACCGCATGATAGCTGTGTAACCATTGAAAATTGATGAAATGAATTACACTTGGGGCAAAAGTGAATGCGACTTACATGTATTTCATGTCGGATCAAATATTCGCGCTGGACATTCGCAAAAGTTGATCACATTTAAAAAAAACGGGAATTCTGCAGCAAGTGTTTCACGACATAAAATTTGCTTTCGCATTCACATGAAGCAGAAACTGGCCCTTCCAAGATAGAAGTCCGAAGTCTCACACGATTGAGTCACGTACCTTGCTTCAACTCCACCTGACACGGCTCACAACTGCCCTCGTGGCACACCACCTCACATGTGTGTGTGCCGCAGTTGAGCTTCCGTCCGCACTCTGACTGACACCGGATGACCTGTGCTGTGCCGCAGCGGACCGTCTGCGACGTCCTCTTGCACAGGCACGACTGCTTGATGTTGGCCGGGCACGGCGGACAGGGCCCCGGATGGCAGAGGATGCTGCAGGGGTGCACGCAATTGGTCTTGGCCCGCTTGCGCCGGCAGACCTCGCCGCAGCTGTGCGGCATCTCGCCTGGGTGGAACGGGGGATCGCGCATCTTACTGCAGAAGCACTTGTAGGCGTAGGGGATTGGAAGGGTGATGTTACGACACATAGGGCACTGCCAACCATCTGAATCTGGAAAATCAAAAGAGTTAACTCAATCAGTTTATGCCTAAAATATGCAAACCCGAGACAATTTTCAGTGACATTTTAACTTCAGTGAAAGAACCTATATCCCAATTGCAACACTGCCAAGTCCTGGTGATGAAGATGAGCTCCAATCTTTTTGCCTCAAATTTAAGGCATTTAAGAAGAGTTTATACACATGTACGATGCCAATGTGTAATCTGAAACATGAAGTACCAAAAGTCTGAAAGAAAAAGGCAGCAAGATTCATTATGTCCCTTAAGCTCTTATGCAAAAGGAATGCTATTTCATGGCTGATTTCCCATAAACCTGTGACATTTTGCTAGACATTCCCAATGGCCCCCTTGAATGGCAGACAGTACAGTGTTGGGTTTCATACATAAAATACAACCGGTGTGGTAACTATTATACTCCGTACGATGGTGAGCACAATGCTTCCTGCTACTGACCCACTGCAGGAAAATCCTGTCAACAAGGCTTGTGAAACACTCTCCAATTACATGTGCATGATACGCAAAATAGACGCAGGGCTAGCAAAATCCGACACAAACCAAATCAATGTACAAAATGCCACAGGGTTGTCGAAGCGGTCTGGTTAGTTCGCAAATGGCGCTTGGTCAATTGGTGGCAGCCAGCCAGTGAGAGTATAATCACGCTCATTTGGATGGGTCCATTGTTAATACATTGCAAAATGGTCCATTGCCACAGCACGGTAAATAATGTACATTCATAAAAGCAAATGAGAATTTAAGAAATTCCAATTTTAACAAAGCAAGATCTTATTCCCTTCTATCACAGGGTGACGTGATTTCAATTTACTGTTACTATTTTTCTTTCTGGTGATGACATCAAGGATTCCTCAAAAGCACCCTAGGCACTGTAGCTGGCAAGAGGGGAGAGAATGTAAGAAGCAGTCAGAGTTTTAGAGGTGGGAGGAACACCCCAGAGAATGTTTTGGGTAAAACCCACGGACTCAGGTTGGGACTGAAAACCCAATCCACGAGTGGACCGAGATGGGAATCGAACCCGGACCACAGAGGAGGAAGCGAGGAAAGAACCACCACTCCAACCCCCTCCCCCCAGCCTAACCTTCAGTGGCTGCAGCCGGCGACTTGGCCCACTTCTTGATGCAGCGCAGGTGGAAGACGGTGTAGCACTCCTGGCAGCTCCAGATGGGGGAGTCGCAGCGCACCGTCTCGCAGCACACTGTGCACTCATAGCTGCCTTCCGTCAGCTGCTCGATCATGGAGCCTGTCTGCGTCTCCGTGCTGCCTCGGTACTTGGGCCGATTTCGCGCCTTGCCAAATTCATTTCTGTAAACACGTACAGAGTACCAATGAATAATCCCAAAATCAGTATCCCAAACAATCAGTCCAAATGTCTTCTCTTTTTAAAGGAAAATCTCAGGATACTATCCCAAAATCACAGTAAAAATTATCTCGGATCTCTACAGCAAATATCATTATGTTTCTATGCACAGTGGTCTTGTTCTTGAACTTCAACTTCATATTTCAAATGAGACAGAAATACATGGTGCCCTAGATCTTATGTACCACTCCGATGAATAATGAAATTCTACTGGGCATGAGTAACTAGTAAATCTCCCCTTTATCACAATGTCAGTCTCATTTAGTTCACACTCTAAGTAGTACATTAGTACAGAATTACTTCCAGCCTTTGTGTTGGTGCCACTCTTCAGGGCAGATATCAAATATTGCATTCAATGCATGCAATTGAAAATATTCCAATCAGAACACTGTCAGTTTTCTACTGGCCTGGCAATACAATGAGTCAAGAACACAAGTCTTCTGAAATCGTCACCATTCACAGCATAAAAACACTGAATGGACCAATAGACATGTACATAATACACCTATCCACAAGT